GTCTTCGCAGCTTGCAGTTTCGACCCGCGTTTCTTGTGAGAGGCGCTCGCAGATGCCTTGAAGCGCAACTGTATGGTCACCCACGTCTACCTCGGTTACAACAAGATCGGGGTCGAGGGCGCCAAGGCCAGGCGGTGCCTGCGGGGTCTTCGCAGCTTGCAGTTTCGACCCCGCGTTTCTTGTGAGAGGCACTCGCAGATGCCTTGAAGTCCAACTGTACGGTCACCGACATCAATCTCGATGGCAACGGGATCGGAGACGAGGGTGCCAAGGCCAGGCGGTGCCCGCGGGGACTTCGCAGCTTGCAGTATCGACCCCGCGTTTCTTGTGAGAGGCACTCGCAGATGGTTTGAAGTCCAACTGTACGCTCACCGACATCAATCTCGATCACAACGGGATCAGAGACGAGGGCGCCAAGGCCAGGCGGTGCCCGTGGGGTCTTTGCAGCTTGCAGTTTCGACTCCACGTTTCCCCCTGAGAGGCACTCGCAGATGCCTTGAAGTCCAACTGTACAGTCACCCACGTCTACCTCAATTTCAACAAGATCGGGGACGAGGGTGCCAAGGCCAGGCGGTGCCACGGGGTCTCCTCGCAGCGTGCAGTTTTGACCCCACCTTTCCCGTGAGAGGCACTGGCAGATGCTCTGAAATCAAACAAGACCGTCACCGACATCAACCTTTTTGACAACGAGATCGGAGCCGAGGGCGCCAAGGCCAGGGGGTGCCCACGGGGTCTGTGAAGGTTGCAGTTTCGACCCCGCGGTTCTTGTGAGAGGCTTTGGCAGACGCCTTGAAGTGCAACTGGACGCTCACCCACGTCAACCTCTGCAACAACTTCCGGATCGGGGTCGAGGGCGCCAAGGCCAGGCGGTGCCCACAGGATCTTTGTTGCTTGCAATTTCGACCCCGCGCTTTCCTGTGAGAGGCACTCGGAGATGTGCGGAAGTTCAACCATGTTGTCGTCGAGATGTATTTTGATGGCATGGACTTTGGTGCATCAGTCGATGCAGCGGAGCACAGGGAGTGACACAAAAGAACAAGCTCGTTTGTTTTCCTTACTCCGTTCAGCGATGCACCAATAGTGGCCGCCAGGGCCTGAATCTAGTAATAGCATCATAGTATCATACTAACTACCAGTATAGTGCTATTCTGTGGTACTATATATCAGTATATCAGTGTATCCGTATATGTAGTGATGAAGTACCCAGCCGTAGACCAGCACTGAACCATGTAATGTCAATTTCTTAAACCACTGTCGAAGTATTCAGGTCCCGATCTTGTCTTGGGGCAAGGTACTCAAGGTATCTCCCTGGGCCCCAAGAAGTTTCACGACACCAGAAGCTCTTGAACGTCGGTCCCGTTGACAATTCGAGTGCAGCTTCCGCTGAGAGCGCTCTCGCCTTGTAAACCCGAAGCCCGTTTACGCCAGCTCCGCCAATTCGTGGCGTTCGTGGTGAGTCATTTCTGCATCATGGCGGCTTCTCAAGACAACGCTGCCTAGTGGGTAGATTTCGAGCTCTCACTCACTGCACCCGTAGCCCCGTCGCAGCCAGACCAGAAGCACCAGGATGCGGCCGCCCCAGTCTAGGCAGATGGGTGTTGGGGCATACTAATTCAAATCCAGCAAAACTGATGATAATTTCCCTAGACTCTAGGCCCTAGACCGTCAACCCACCGCCGACTCTTAGCAACCTGGGCTTCGTAATTCACTTTGCGCATTGTGTGATGCGAGGGCCGTGCCACCCACAAGAGCTCATGTGCATGTCGGGTTGAGGGTTTCGGGTTTTGTATGATATATTCCTAAACCCTAAACTCTGAACTTTTTAATCTTTAAGCCCGATCGGCCTAAATCCTAAGCCCTACAAGCCGGTGTACCTTTACAGGAGCGCCAGAACCCCGGAGCTCCCCCACCTAGGCCCCTGACAGGGCGTAGGTCCCTGAAAAAGCTTCCGGGGCTTTGGGGCCTCCGGGGGGGCTCTGGGGCTTCCCGGGCCCTTCTTGGGGTTTAGGGGGCTCAGGGTTGAAGAGATTTAGGGTTAAGGGCCCTTAGGGTTCAGGGGGTTGAGGGTGAAGGGCCTGTAGGAGTTGGGGGCCTTTTCCACAATGAGGGTTTTGAGGGCTTCTTGACTTTAGGCAAATGGGGGCTTTGGAGTTCAGGTTTAAGGCTTTGGGGTCAGGTATTAAGGCATTCGGATTTGAGGGAAGCTAAGCATGTGCTGTCCCCCAAAACCTAGAGCGCCCGAGTTTCAGCAACAAAACGATGAAGATCCCGTTGACTCAAAGAGAGCTTTGGGTGTTTTGGGGGCTTTCGATTAAGGGTTGCTGTATTCGCCCCAAATCCCAAATGCATGAGCTTGACACCACTCTTGACACCCTGAAACCCCAAAAAGCCCCAAGCCCTAAACCTGAAAGCCGCAAACTTGAAACGCCTCAGCCCTATGCCCAACTTCCCAAGACTCCGCCGGCTCAGAAGCTCTAAACCCTAAGCCCTGAACTTTATAAACCCTGCCCCCGAAACCCCAAGTCCTAGTAGCTACGCAGAGAGCCCTACACTCCGCCGGCTCAAAAGCTCTGAGTAAGAAATTCCCTAGACCCATAAACCCAAAACCCTTAACCCCGAACCCTTAGCCCCAAACCCTTCGCCCTACAATCCCTAAGCCCTAAGGGTTTCAAGGATCGGGGCGATGAGGGCAAGCATATGATCATGTTGGGTTGACGCGTGGCAGTGGAGATAGTCCTGACAAGCTCGAGCAGGGTGGCAACTGAGGGGTGTGGTTGTGTGCGAGGCGTAAGCCCTCGACATCTCCGGGCCAATGGGCCTTATGCTTACTCAGATGGATGGGCGGGCATAAAGAGGAGCTCAAATAACCTTAAACTCTACAGAGCATCACGCCCTGGTGGCGTGCATGTTCGTGTGTTCTTGTTTTCGCTTTCAAGTGGCATCCCGAGGCCATACCGTTCGTCGTCGACCACAGACCTCTTTCGAACGTTTCTTGCGATTGCATCTATAGAAGTTTGTTCGATATCGCAGACAAGTCTTAAGTCATTCCAAAATGGGAAAGCTGGGTCAATTCTCTCTGCTGTAGTGTCTGGACAAGGCACTAAATGCTTCAAGTCCTATAGGTGTAAATACTCGTGTGAAAACCTTTAGAATACCGAGAAATACGCGCCACTCTGCAACTCTGAACCCTTAGCCCGAAACCCTGACCGTCAAGCGTCAAGCGCAATCATACACCCCGCTGGCTCAAAAGCTCTGAAAGTATCGGCGCGCTGCTCTGAGAGTTTCCACTCTTTGCTGTGCAAAGAATCCATGGCCCGGCAGCTTGAACAGGCCACCTCTCTTTAGGGTTTGGGGTTTAGGGCCAACTTAGCTGAGTGTGTTGATTTGGGGTTTTGCTTTAATTTTTGAATTTGCACCGTTATTTGATTTAGCTAGCAGCACAAGGCCCTTCTTAGGATAGTTTTCTGAGTACCTCAGGTTCTGCTCCTGTTGAGGGTTCTATGTTTACCTTCTAAGAGGAGATAGGGCTTTCGCGCTTAGGGCACATTTTTCAAGAAATGTCTAGTTTAAGCGTTTGGGGATGTATGGTTTCTGGGTGTTTACGATTTTTGGGTTTTGGGTTTCGGGGTTTCAGGGTCGGGGAAGTTGCTGGTTGACTTGCATAGTATGTATATAAGATCTTTGAGAGGGTTGGTTTCCTGCTTCTTAAACCTTCCTTCGCCTTAAACCCTACACTTTCTGACGCTCCATGGGCGTGACGTGCTTAGGGCTCGTGTGATTCGGGTTTGGGATGCAGGGTGGCGAACTCAAGCCGAACCGGGTTTAGGATTCAGGGGTTTAGGGTTTAGCGGTTTACGGGTTTAGGGGTTTTAGGGGTTTTAGGGGTTTTAGGGGTTTTAGGGGCTTTAGGGGCTTTAGGGGTTTAGGGGTTTAGGAGTTTAAGGGTTTAGGGCCTGGCCCTACCTTTGAGTACCCGGGAAACCCAGGAGTCGTTTGCTGGAAGAATAAGTTGTTTCTAGATGATGTTGAGAAGCCCTAAACCCTATACTCTAAACCCTATACAGTAGAAGCCAGAAAGTTGGAATATCATTATCCTCATGGCCTTATGGTAAAGTAGAGGGAATTCCAGCACTGGTCATCCTAAACCCATGTTCCAACTTTCTGGGGTTCACTGTACACCTTAAGAGGAGCACGTACCTTAGATATCCTGGGATTATGTGAAGCGTGACCGAGAATATACAATATGCCTAACTGCAGACGACTTTGTGGAACACCCTACGAGAATTTTTCCGAAAACGGGGCTTCGGAGAGGTAGGATATCATTCAGAATTTCCAGGCATCCCTGCTGTTGTTTGTGTTTGGCCTCATTGGTTCTCCAAGAGATTGAGGGTTTGAGTTTTGAGGCGCTTGTCTAGAATTCACCCTACAGCTGTCTTTAATACCCCAAGTACGGGACTCGTGTTCAGGCGGTCTTGCGGGCCCTAATGAAGGCTGTCAGGCTTCAATTTGGGGTGGCGGGTGCAGGGCCTCGTGCTCAGGGAACTCGACTACAAGTGGTCCTTTGATTGTTCGGGTTATCATTATCTTATCTTTCTCACTACCGTTTCTGCACGAGTAGTGATTGATCATCAGCCGGGAAGACTCCAAAAGTGTGCAACCGTAAGCAACCCTAAACCCTAAACCCCAAATCATGGGTTTTCGGAGTCCTGGGTGGTTTGATTCAGCAACGCTTTCCGGCGGCATGCCATTCAGCCCTTACACCCCAAAGCCTTGATCCAGGGGTGAACAGCTAGTAATGACATTTCCCAGTGCTAGAACCCTGGTGTAAAAGAGCTCCACAACCGACCCCATGGCTTGCCACACTAGTGGAGCAACAGAGACCAGGCTGCTCTGGCCCAGGCATGTTAGCTTTAGGGCTTAGGGTATAGGGTTAGGGTTTAGGGTTCAGGGCCATGTAAAAAGAGCAGAAGCAACAACTAGCAGTAACTAGCACACTCAAAAGTACACATGTGAGCAAGTAAAGAAACACATGGGGCATACACCATGGAGTTCTTGAATGTTCAGAAAGAAAAACAAACAGATAGACAAAGACTTTCGCGGGGGTATACTCTTACGCAGTAGTGAGAACAGTTTTCAAGCTTCGCCACAAGGTCGCCGGTGTCTCCGTACTAGGTTCTGGAATCCCTGAACCCTCAACCCTAAACCCTAAACCCTATAAGCCCTAGAAGCACTAATAACTCCTAAACCCTATAAGGGAGCCCTTGGGCCTCCTCCTGGAGGTCTCAAAAGTCCGGGTTTCTACGCGTACCAGAAGCACCCCCAGACATAATTACGGAGCCTCTAAACCCTAAACCCGCTGAAGAGACGTAAGACAGACCCCTATAGGGCCTTAAGACCCTAAACGACCCTAAACCCTACATGCCCTCCACCGGCCCTAAACTTCCTAAACCACCCAGGACATGCGACGATTCGGCGTTCCGATGGCGGGAACTTTGGCGGCTGACGAACCAGACTGACGATCTGACTGAAGCCCTTGCAACTTCCGAAGTCAACAGGTGCAGTGTTTGCATTCGTTGTTGAGGCTTAGGGTTTTTGAGGGTTTGGGGTTTAGGATTTTCAGTTTTGGGGTTTAGGGCTCTACTTAGTCGCAGGTTTTGCCGTTTTGTTCGGACTCAATTGGCTATGCCTCCTTGAAGGCATCAGTATGCTGTTTCTCTTTCTTCTGCGATGACTAGCGCC